TACACTCTTCGTGGTAAACTTTTCGAAATATTCCGTTCTCAAAAGTACTCGAAGCATCGGAAAAAGGTGAAAAATTTCAGTGATTTTAGCTGGTGTTAGTGCACTTTTCACTAATACTTTCAAGAGCTCTACGGCAAATTGTTGTTGTGCGAAAAAACAAATTTTAGTTCACAATGGAGTTGCCGTTCTTGTAAAAGGTATTCTTTGCTAACCAATTTAACTTCAACTTCTTTTAAATTTTATTTTCGCTGTTTCTTCTTTATCTCTTGCAAGTAGCCGAGTAACGCTACTCCATGATATGTATAGAAAAGTAAGTTTCTACGCTTCTCTGCGATGCATATGAAAAAGTAAGTTTTTACGCTTCTCTGCGATGCATACGCGATGCATTTAGAAAAGCTTCTCAGATGCGCTCTTCTGCGATTAAATTGCTCAGTATTACGATTCGTGGAAGATTCTTAATTTTTACGCAATGAAAATGTTTGCTGTGTAGAAGAATTCAATTTATTTATGTGTTGCACAAGTATAAATTTCATTGTAAAATATTTCGAATAAGTAAATATCCAGTAGTTTATAGTGGTATCGATGCCAAAAGAACCATAATGGCATCAATGCTTTATTGATACTTTAAGCAGCTTTGAGGAATCAATGTGCGAAATTTATTGCTTTATGCTGTAATTTACCTCGATATTTTGTAAAAATTTTGTGTGTTTTTTTATATATGAATTCCTTGTAGTTCTTTTTTATACAATATTAATTTAATTATCATTTTTAAATAAATATAATAATAAAATATATATATATTCATATATCCTTCATACTTACATAACTTTTATTTGAATTTGTTAATGCTTTGATGATGCTTTTGAATGCTTTGTGACAGCGATAATGATTGCTTTACAAAGTTATATTGATTTCACCACAAAATTGTATGCATTCCCCTTACTTTGTTTTACATCAAAAAACCACCACCATAATGATGGTTTTAAGTATGATTAGGTATCAATGAAGCAAAGATGGTTTTCCTATCTTACTTCGTATCGTAGTGGCATTGATGGTTGATTCTAAAGTATCGATGCTGTATCGATGACGCATCGCTTTCGCCTGCTGGCGACAGATACTTCCAACATATGATAAAGCGGAAATTAATTTTAATTGAAATAGTTTTTGATTTTAAACCAAACAAAAAAGTTTTTAATTCAAAAAATTAATTACTTTAATTATTTTCTGTATTAATTAATAAAGAAAAAAACTCTAATTAATGCTTTAAATAATATTCTTTATATAATAGATTAGAAAAATACATAAGTAAATGCGTAATAGACATAATTACAATCAAAATATTTTATATATTAATACATTAATTTTAATTAAACACATTTTACTTAATAATAATTTAATTATATTAAGTCCTTAAAAAGCGCAGAAGTGACATTTATGTAGGTAATCACATCTTCGTAATACATGTGACGAAAATGTTATGGAATATAAATTTTTGTAAAAGATTTCGATGCCTATTGTAAAAAATAAGTGTCCCTGTTCTTTATGAGATCTTCTCTACTTGGCTACTCCAGGCTACAAATTAGCTAAAATTTGGCACTTCGATTAGAAATAAATATACTGGCAATACCGCATATTAGGCACAACAGCAACTTAAAATAAATCAGTTTGTAACCACAAAAAGACTGATATTACAAAAGAATTCTTGTTAATGCATTCACGTAATAAATCTTTTTGAAAAATTCTAACTGTATTTAATAAAACTATGTAATGCATTCCTTACATGTTACATACAATATATTAATTTTTACAATGTGGTGTTGATTATAGCTAACGAAATGTCAACGTCTTATTCTATGGGTTCAAAACGTGAGAATTATATTGAATGGGATGATTACTTTATGGCACTAGCGCTTCTTTCATCAAAACGCAGTAAAGATCCGGTCACACAAGTAGGTGCTTGTATTGTGGATAATGAAAAACGCATTGTTGCTATTGGCTATAATGGATTACCACGAAATTGCCACGATGATGATTTTCCTTGGTGCAAACCTTCAGATTTAAATTCTGCTGACCCTCTTAATAATAAAAAGTTGTACGTTGTTCATGCAGAAGCAAACGCAATCCTTAACAGAAATTGTGCGAGTCTTGAAGGAATGAAGCTTTACTCAACACTTTTTCCATGCAATGAATGTTCAAAATTGATAATTCAATCTGGAATAAAATACGTTTATTACATATCTGACAAATATTCACAGAAAAGCAGTTATTTAGCTGCTAAACGAATGTTCGATGCGGTAGGCATTACATACACACGAATGAAACCTAAGCAAAATCGAATTGTTATTGATTTCGCAGATATTTTAGAAGAGGATCAACAGGAATCTATTAATATAGAATCATTAAAGATTTGATTTCAATTTATATAATACATGTTATATCTATAATTTTAAGAATAAACGCATTTTATATTTGATTATTTACATAAATAATTTTAACGATAAAATAATGCTAGATATTTACAATTAATCACTGTTGTGTAATTATGGTTTTTACGTCATACATGTTATGCTTTTTTCTACTTATTCCTAATATTTTTAAAAAAAGTTCATATTACCTTAATAAAACTAAAAAATTTTGCTGTAGGTTAAGTATGTTTATAATTCAGTAAAGCATTAAACTGCCTTGGAAAATATTAAAATGTAGCGATATGTTCAATATTTTGGTTTTGTCAGAATTCTTTATTTGATTTATAAGTTTTTATAGTAATTTAAAATTTAATTCACGTACGGTCAATCTACAAAATTTATTGATCGTATATACAGCGGTCACAAAAAGTATTCGACATTAACCAAATTTTTGTTAAATGATGCAATAACAACAAAAAGAAACAAAACAATTATGCAATATTCAACATGTGTATTCTGTTTATATGTTTTAATTATATTTACTTTAAAAATTCAAAAAGAAAATGACGAAAAATGCAATTCTATTACGGAAGACCAAAAATAAAACAAAAAAATAATTCGATATTTACGTAACTGACTGCAATTTTAATAACAATAACTAAAATTTAATATTTCGTTATATGTCCTTCACACTTTATTACCTCTTTTAAACGATTTGGCAACGATTGGACTAATTTTGCTGTCATAGCTGGATCTATAATATCCCATTCGTCCATTAGAACCTGTTACTACATACATTGCTTGTTTGAAAAGATGAGTTTTTTTAATTTGGAGTTTAAACTTTATGGGGTTTAAGTGAAGACTTTGCGGAGATGTTTTTATCACTTCTGGACAGTTATACAATAACCAAAGCTTAGTGTTTAACGCAGAATGCTTTGTATCATTATCCTGATAGAACTGAAAATCATTTCCCATTCCCATAATTAATCGATATATAACTTGTGATCCATTATTCCACTTATTACTTCGATATTTCCCACATCAGAAGCCGCCATGCATACCCAAATCATAACACCGCCACCACCACGTTTAACAATAGCAACTGTATTGCCGTCTTCCAGCTTTATATTTTGCTGTCTATACATAATTATCATTTCATCGCATCCAAAATATGTTGAATTTGTTCTAATCAGCAAAAATTACATCATACCAAAAAGATCTTTTGAATAATTTTTTGCAAATTGTAGCTTCTATTGATTTTGTTTACAAATGATTTCTTACGTGCAGTTTTTCTTCTATAACCATAAATTTTGAGCGAATTTCAAATAGTTTGTGGTGTGACCTCTTTTCTCGAATGTCGAATACTTTTGTTGCTTTATTTTTTGTGTTCCGTAATAGAATTGCATTTTTTGCAACTTTATTTTTATATGTTTGGAGTAAAAACAATTAAAACAGAATACAAATGTTGAAAATTGCATAATTTTTTTTTTCATTTTTTTTTTGTTTCTTAGTGCTGTTATGATAACATTTAACAAAAATTTAGTTAATGTCGAATACTTTTTTTGACCGTTGTAAATTGGAACAAGAAAAACTGAATCAAAACTGTAAATCAACTCGAATACAGAAAAAAAAACTGAACAAATGAATACTTGATTTACAAATTGCAACTGATTACTATATAAGTTTAAATTTTTAATTTATATAATATGAAAAATTGATAATAAAACTGTTTACTAGGAAAAAATTACTGTTCAATCAAAAGTTTTTGTTTTAATACCAAACACCCATGTGCACTTTACAACATCGCTAGCACAACAATTACTCGTTACTATATACATGACAGCAGAAAAGTATACATACAGTCAGTATAAACTAGAACAGTAAGAAGCCGCAGATACTATATATAACAATATATTTAATAAATTCCAACAGGTTATGGTCCCAGCACGCTTCCAATTGAAAACAAAAATTTGTGACAAAATCAAGTTAAAAGAAGAAATAAAAAACACATTTCAACAGAAAGCGTTAGAATTGCGGTTTGGTATGTGTGCAAAGTTATTGAGCGTCGCAAATTTTGTGAAACAGTTGTGAAATAAAAACTATGAAAAAATAAAAATTAGTTTCGCAAACATAAAAATTGCTCCTCTTGGCCGTGATAATTATGACACTTGGAACAAGTTCAAGCTTTATTAATTAGAAACTACACGTGGAAGCAATCAGTGGACAATGCGAAAAACGCGCCACCGGCAATGCAGCTATCGCCGAATGGAAACTAAATGACTCAAAAGCAAAAGCCGATTTGATTTTACTTATTTCAACTTCTGAATTAAAACTAATAAAGAATTGTGAAACATCAAAACAACTTTGGAGCAAGTTAGAAAATGTTTTTCAATCTAAAGGGCCTGAAAGAAAAGCAACGTTGCTAAAGTCATTAATTTTGCCGAAAATGCACAACGATGAAGACATATACGACCATGTTAAGAAATTTTTTGACATTTTAGACAAAATTCACGAAATGGATATGAAGATCGACGACGACTTAGTAACTATTCTATTATTGTACAGCGTGCCTGATGATTACGAACAGTTTAGAATAGCAATAGAAACACAGGACAAATTACCTGATCCAAAAACACTGAAAATCAAAATGATCGATGAATTTGAAGCAAGAAAACGCAACAGCAGTGAAGAAGAATTATTTGCGAAGAAAAGCAATAAAAATTGACAACAGCCCAAGTTTCATAATAAAAATGAAAAATTTAAATACGCTTGCCATAATTGTGGCAAAATTGGACACAAAATCAAGGAATGCAGATATAAAATCAAAAACAGAGCCACAACAAACAATTTTGAAAACAAAGCGAAATATGTGGAGCATAAGAAATCAGATATAGCAATGACAGTACGCAGTGAAAAAGGCAAATGGTGTCTTGATTCAGGAGCTACGTCGCATATGTGCTCTCAAAAAGAAAAATTTAGAGAACTGAACACCGTAGAACAAATTCTGAAACTTGCTAGCGATAAATCAACGAAAATGACTGGAACCGGAAACGTTATTTTACAAACAAGTATCGTAACTGCAAACCTAGGCGAAACATTATACGTTCCCGAACTGCGATCAAATCTAATGTCAGTGTCAAAGATTACTGATCATGGTTATGAAGTGTCATTTCGTCGAAATGGAGCAGTTGTGATCAATCCGAAAACGGGCAAGAAAATGCTCACAGCATCTAGAAAATGAAACTTATACTATGTGAATGAGCCAACAGAACATATGAAGATAGCCGAAAGCACCAGCAGCCTACTAGAGTGGCACCAAAAGTTTGGGCATCTAAATAAGATTGACCTGAAAAACAAAATAAAACATGAAAAAGTAAAAGGCATCGATGCAAGCATTCAATCAAATTTTCCAACATGTGAAGTTTGCATTCTAAGCAAGCAAGCTCAAACACCATTCCGTGAATCTGAGACGAAGTCCAACGAATTGCTGAAGTTAGTTCACTCAGACGCTTGAAAATAGTCAAGTAATTTCATTATTTTCTAAAATAGCAGCGTATAGATTTTGCTCATGAAAAATTTGTGTATGATCATGGTGCCAATGGTTGGAAGAAGGCATGGGTCAACATAAAGTAATTTGTCAAAAATGAAAATAAGATATGCTAACAGTTAATACTATATATATACTAGATAATCCGACAAACGTTGTTTTGCTTTATAAATTATTTCTAGTTTCTAGATAAATTCTAGTGTAGACAAAAAGTGACTTACTTATTATAAGTGTGTAAGTATGTGGTATATGCATGAAATAGGCATGGAGCGCTATGAACGAAAAGGAAAATAAAAATAACAAACGCCAAACAATATTATTTTTAAGTTATTATAGTTTATTTATTAAATTATTCATTTAAAATCAATAGTTTTGTATGATACCAAGTTCCCTGGCAACAACTGTTGTATCTTCAAATTTAAATTGTCTTGGATTGACTGTAAATAATAATAATGATAATGGGCCAGTAACATTAACCAACAACAGTCGAAGATAAAAGCACTCAGTGTGTCTTGGATTAACTGTAAATAAGCGTTCGATTTAAATAAATTGAGACATGCTACAACTGGTGAAACTTGCTTGCGGGGCATCCATTTTTTTGTTTGAGCCCATGTGAAATAGCGTGGTACTTGTGAATAGAGTAATGTTCTTGTAAAGGCACCAAAATCATCCGTACTATTACACAATTCAAAAAATGCAGTGAGTGTAGATTTAGGTGGATTTGTACCACGATCAATCACTGTCTGGTTCGTGAAAAATACACGCTGACCGTTTTCAAGATGGACGGCTAACTGAACAGCAGCTGGATCCCGTTCATGAATTAGAAAACCGAAGATACGCCAAGCAGCTTCATTGGAGCTGATGTACCGATCAATTTGGTAGAGCGTAATTTCACCGTTTTTGTTAATTGGAGGAGCATTTACATTAGTATTTTCTACTCTAAACACAGCCATATCACTGCCTTTATGGACATACTTATATATTTGATGCTCTTCACAGAACTGCAAAACTCAACATTAATATGAGCATTGTATGTCTTGCTTAGCAGAGGCGAATACGCACCACCCAACGATTGTCAACGTCAATGTCTGTGATATTTTTAATAAATGATTGTCCGCCATTATCGGGATTTCTACGACGATATATTGGATATCCGTCGGTATTTGTTATCGTATCATTAGTGAAATCTTTAGAGAAATTTTTAGTACATTTTCTATCTGCCATGCAAGGCGAAGACGAAGAAACGAAGTGGATGTAAATGCTCGATGTACTTGTTGGCGTAGTTACATAAAATATTAAAAAAAAATTTTTCTTTTTCGAAAATATAAACAAAATTTATGTCAAAAAAATAAAAAAATTTTTGTTAAAGCAATAAAGATATTTTTGCTGGGTAGGGACACCCTAATCACTTTAGTGGTATGAAAAATAGATAGTAGCCGATTCTCAGACCTACTGAATACGCATATAAAATTTGGTAAAAATCGGTAAAGCCGTTTCGGAGGA